TGTAAATATTCATGTTAGTTGGATCACATCACATACGACTTTTTAACACTTCTAAAGGGATTATTTATAACCAATAGGGTATTCATTTCAACTAGTATATTAACCATGAATAAAGTGGTTATTGTATCTTAATGACACCTTATGAGCACTCTTTTGTCTTATATTTTCAATATCATTTTACTCAGTTTTTATTGATTGGAAGTCTTTATGTAGTGCTTTTTTCCTAAAGTAACTAGATATTCTTAATTCTTTTTTCTTTTTCCGAGGTCATACATGATGTTTCATAGTAACTATCTGCACAGTTAAATTTTCTTTGATGAGTTCGTGTGGGACTCTCCATTCTAAGGAGACATAAACTCCTTAGATCCACACAATAAGTATATTCTTCTTTCAGCCAATACTCTGGTCATCATTCAGAATTAGGGATAAATAGAACTTCTAGTCTCTCAGGCTTTCATTTCATGTCTAGAACATTTGACTTCTTAAAGGTTTGCCCAGGGTCTTTTATTTATTTATTTTTTGAATGTTGTAATCTTTTACATGTAGAATTACATATCAAATATGAATTGAAAACTATTTTTAAAAATCCCCTTTATTACATATCAGGTTCATGGGCAGACAACAAGCATACGATCTTATTTATCAAAATTTAGATTTTTCTTTTGCAACCATCATAAACCCTTTTCTACTAAGGCTAGTGGTTTTGAGAATTCTTATTGTTCTGAGCATCATCTCTAACACACATACTCATCTTGCCCTGAGCCTGCTCAAGGTGGCCTGAGCCTGCTCAAGGTGCAGTGTACAGGAGCCCTGGTCAAATACAGGCTGTGGATCACATAGCTCAAGAAAGCTAAGCTGAGATTAACCTCTTATGGAGAAACTACATTTAAAAGCAGGGGAGATTATCAGACAGATTTATTAGGCTAAAAAGATACGAAAGCTGGATTACAGCTGAGATAGGAGGGAGAAAGCTCTGAGCAGAGGGCAGGAGCAATTGTGTAAGCTCAGTAGGGTTTTTATTGGGAACCCACAGGACTCTCAGATGAAGGCAGGACGGTAGCTGTGAATCTGCAGTCAATGCAGCCATCCTGGAGCTTCTGCTACTGAGGTTTGCTCTCCCCTTCCCGTGCTCACACTGCTCTACTTTCCTGTCTCATCTCATTCCTCATTCTGGGACCAGGGAACAGAGGCAGTGGAAGTAAACTTTCACACTTTTCTTGTTTCTTCAAAGAGTTTCTGCTGCTTCGTCCTGAGCAGCTCCTTCTAGGACTCCAGCTGTCTCCACCACACACAAGACAACACTTGGGAAAGCGTAGCCTCTGCTCTCTTGCTTCACCTACAGCTCCATCCTGAGTCATGTGCCCTGACCCTCTTCATACTCACTCCCGTCTTCTGAAGTTGTTATTATTTCCCATTTCTGACCTTTCTCCCCTCAGGCCTCAATATTACCTCTGCAGCTGCAATCTTTGATTCTTTTCCTGACTATAATTCAGTTTTTTCTCCAATGGCACTGTAAACTGTCTCGCCGGTCAGTAGCCCCAGAGACTGCATTGGCACAGCTCCCATGACCCCTGTGCCCAAGGCTCTCTGGAACTCTCCAAGTGGGTCTCAGCCACCTCTCCTTAGCTGATAAATTTGTCACCCTTTTGCATGAGCAGGGGTGTAGAAGGTGACTCTTCAGAGAGATCAGCAATAGCATTTACCATTCTCATGGTGCTGTTTGCCTCTGGCAATAAGATATACTTAGCACCCCTTCTGCAGGGTACTGTAATCGACTCCTTGGACTTCCATACCTTTGGGTTGTCAAGCAGAATTATTGTTCTTTATGCTTTTTCCCCGCTGGCTCCCTTAACATGACTCCTAAAAACTGGTTGTGTAGTACAATTCCCCTGCACTCCTGCTCTCATAAAATTTAGTTTGAATTTTTTCTTCTTTGTAACATTTCTCAATTCCCTTTCCTTATTATACAGGAGCAACTTAGGGAGACACATTCCAGCAAATTACTACAATTATCTTCAGCTTAGTGGTGCACCTGAGCAGGCCCTCTGTTGTTTTCTATGAGCAAACAAAGCAAAAAACCCTGAGTAATCTTGGAAATACATAGATAATTCATGATCTTCCTTTTCCCTTTGACTTAAGAATTTTCTTGAGCTTATTTTCCACTTTACTGGTTCATAAGAAGCCAAAAAGGATTATTTGAATTTCATCTCACTTTCCTTCTCATTTATAATTGTTATTGAGAGAAGCATGTGTGAAGTTATTAAAAAAAAATTATTGAGTCTCTTCTACATAGCAGGCACAAGGTTAAGGAATGGCTTCCTAGAGATGAAAAGACAGTGGTTTCCAGGAGTTCATAGCCTGATGGGAGATAGGGACCTACACCCATTAAACATAATATAAATACAGAGAGAAGATATTGTGTTGTAAGGACATGTGAAGAACATTTAATACTATTTAGGGAAGAAGGTTAGAGAAAGCTTCCAAGAGAGGTGATGATGCCTGAGCAGAGTCATTTAAAGATTAGAAGGGATTTTCCAGATGTAGAAGGAAAGTTCTTTTCAGGCCAAGGGTACAGCATTAACAAGGGCATGAAAGCAAGAGAGGCGGGGCGGGGTGGGGGGAGGTGTCGGGGAGAACTCTGCTGGGATTGAAGGCAATGTGGTGAGTCTGGAGCAAAGGGAATGGTTAATGGAGGAGGGAGGGTGAGAGGGGAGGTTGGGGCTGGATCCGGAGCGCTTCTTGGGTCTTTGTTTTTTCCAGCTTTAATTGAGTTTATTGGTACATTTTAGGGATACAGTACCGTTACATTCATTGTTGGGATCTTGTACTTCTACATGACAAGTCTTGATTCTCATTTTTCCCCCTTACCTCTGCCCTCCCTTCACCCCCTCCTCCCCTCCCCATCTACAAAGACTTTATTTTCATCTTTTCTTGTGTCTTTCTAAGGAGCCTTGGCTATGGCTGAAAGTGCTGAAAAGCCACAATACAATTTAAGCAAGAGAAGGCCTTTAGGATATTCACGCATTTGCAAATACTTTTGGCTCCAGTGTGGTAGATGGTTTAGAATAGGGCAACCTACGATGCGAAAATGCTTATTATTAATGTAGGGAAGAGTTACAAGGACTCCAAAAAAGGCAACAGCGTTGTAGATTGAAAAAAAAAATTAAGGAATATTGACTACTTTCAGAGCAGAGCCAGTAGATTAAGAGGGGAAAAGAACTCACACATCTCTCTTGGATACTGGTAATCTTGTATTTGCTGACCTGGATGGTTATAGACATGGATAACTTGTACATATTTGTTTAACTATGTGTTTGTTTTATGAATTTTTTGTAGTTTTCTTTCATATTAAAAGGTTTAAAGAGACATGTACACACAGAATAGAATATTTGAAGGAGATTAAGGGGGTAAATAGGACTTGGCTCTGTTCTGTTTATTTGAGGATGACAAAAATGCAAAAATATAGAATACAGAATAATTTGCATATTTTTCTTTCCTGATTAAGTGAATGGATGAATTTCATAATAATAATAAGTCATAATTTTAAAAAATAGGTGACCCTTGTTGAACACTCTCTTGGCCTGAGTAGTTTTAGTGTATTACACCACTTTACCTTCAACAGGTTGGAGTACACGTGTTGGAATTGAGTACACGTGTTGGAATTGGGTACACACATAGTACAAATAGGAAGGCAGAATCAAGGAAAAGGTTAACATCTTTCCTAGGAACACATGATAAGTAAAAAAACTGGGATTTGAATCTGGATGTGTGCATCTCCAGTATTTTGGCGTTGAATCATGATCTCCTTTTGCCTACAAGCAATACATTTAGTTTAAGAGATGGTGAGTTCTCTTTTGGATATGAAGGTGGATTTCCAGCAGGAAATTGTGAATTTGAAGGTCAAATGAGTGATGCTATCAGGAGCCACACATCTAGGGAAGGTGCCAAATAGACAATGAGGAGTCTAACACATTATCTAGAATGTGACCTGTCATGCCTCTAAGTGAGTTTCTTTTAAAAAGTATTTATTAGTACGTGTCTGCAGTACATAATGATTGCATTAATTGTGGGGAGCTAGTTTATGTACATAAGTCATCTTAATTCTTTTTCTATTTCCTTTCCCTTTCCTCTCTTCCCCCTCCCTCCTAAGTTAGTTTCTTATCCCTGTTACTCCACAAATGAAGAAAGACATGATCATCTTCAGCAGCAGCAGGTTAAGCTGCATCAGCCTGTCCCTTAGCCTAATGCATCTCACCACCGTGCTTCTGTGACAGGAGTGGGTTAAGTTTGCTCCACTTTCTCTTTTCCTTATGATAATTCTTATCATGAGAACACATTAATCTTGTGCTATTTTCTGTTTTCATTACAATCTTTGTCACACAAGTGGAGCATCAGAATGTTAATGCCTCACATCTTCTGTGAAGGATAGTAGAATTCTCCACTGCTTTGACCTTTCCAATGTTCTGCATTTCGATTGGGTCTGGAAGTTGATGATTAATGATAATTACAATAATTATACCAAGGGACTCGAAATATAAATTACCAAATGTTCAAAGGAAGCCACTTGAAACCTTTAATAGAATCTTGAACAATCTTTGTCCAAATGTTCCCACTTCCTCCTCTTGCACCTTCATGAGACATCCCTCGGTGAGGAGGTTGGGAGAGATTCAGCCCAGGTTGCAGCCAGAAGAATAAAAGAGCTGTGATTTGTGAGTCATGTTTTAGTTATATGAAGGGGGAAAAAAAGAAATCAATTTTTAAATCAATAGAATGGTCCTTTGCCCAAACAGCTTTGCTTAACAAAGAGTGAGCATTCCATAAAACAAGACTTTCGCTTTCGATTCAGATCATTAACTACGATTCCCATTAGGCGGGAGGTGCCACTGGGAAAGGGGATATTTACTTGTCTTCCTCTGCTCTGGTTTCTTGGCTTTAATTTGAGGGCAGTGTTGCTTTCCGGAGTGAAAGAGTTAGTTCTCTACCCAGTCTCTGTACCTGTGCCCACAGAGGACTCCCCAGTGTGAATACTGATACCAGTGCCAGCATATTCTGTGTGAACCTTTGCAACGGGCAAGATTCACTGAGGTTTGTTTATTTATGTTTTATTTAATAAGAAACAGAGACACTGGAATTAAGGGTTTGAGACCCTTATATTTTATTCCTACTGCAGTAAATTCTACCTTACATTGTGATTACCAGCGCAGCATCTCTCTGGAAGTTTGGAGAAATTGCCTTAAGGTCAGGCTTCTGCAGGGAAGAATTCTTGAAAATAAGAAACTGATAGTGGATTATTAGGGAACATATTTTCATACAAACATTCTTTTGCTACAAGTCTAGCACACTTGCATACAGGCACTGTGCTTACTTTTGCATGTGTCTCTTCATGTTATACCATACATTAATTCAGACTAGACATAGGTGTACTTGAATATTTGGAAGTTTATGTAGTGGAGATGTTGAGGGGAGTAGAGGAATGCTTGTGGACAGGTACAGGCATGAGAAGTCTGAATGGTGTCATTCTCCAGACATGTACAAGCTACTGTGGACTTTCCAGAGCCACTGTTGACTAAACCTGAATGTTGCAGGTGAGATTTTTTTCGATGGGCAAGATGATTTCCTGAGTGTTTTTAAGGAGAATTAGTAAGGATTCAACCCAGGGCAGGCAGGGTCTTTGGGTCAGTAAGCCATAACTCTTCTCTTCTTTTGCTCTGGGCTGGGCGGGTACCTCACTGGTGGTTCCAAGGGACCATGAATCCAGGAAGGTAGACTCCTATTTTGGGTCTCCAGTGGTTGTAGTTCCTTGGAATATGTTTCCTTTTCCCAGAGGATCCTACTGGGTCCAGGAAGTATCTAATATATCACTCTAAGAATACATCTTCTTTTCAAGTGGTATTTAAAGCTTAGGAGCATTTCACACTCATGAAGAATTTGGTGCTGAGGTGTGTTTGTGTGTGTATGTGTTGCATATGTGAAGATTTCTGTTCATCTAAAAATGTCTTCCTTTAAAAGATGATACACTCCTTTTAAGCTGATATTGCAACCTTTAGGATAGGTAGGAGATAGAGGGTTTAGTCCCTGATGTTAACGGTAGTATGACTATTTAAAGTAAGTTTCATTATCATCACTACCTGTCTTGTGCTTTGTTTGGTTAGCTGAGACACAGCCTTAGAATGATAAATTTCAACTCAGCCTGAATGCCTGATCAGTGAATGAACTGATCTAGAAGTTCCCCTTGTCAAGCAGACTTATCCTTTCTTTGAGGTTTTTTTTTCTCCTGCAGAGACATTCTGAGCTTGTAAACATGAACTTAAGAAAATCTAAATCGTGACAGTTGATCTTGTAACCTGGGCAGTTTCTACTATATTAAACTGCATCCTGATTATTTGAAAAGCACAATGCTTTTGATCAGCTACTGAGGTCATGCTTGTAGGGTCAAGTATCTCATTACACTTGTATTTTCTTCCAAATGGATTTGTACCTATATTTTATTTTACTACTTGTTTTTCTGGCCTATTACTGCAGCCTATTATTGAAGTTTTAAAAATAACTTCTATTCCTACTCTCAGAAGTTAAAAGAAATGTCGTTAAAAAATGTAAGTGGATCTAAGGAAACAGTTAATGTACTGGCTTTCTCTTTTATGTAAATGCGTGTTCATGTTTTGCAAAAGAAAAGAATGAATAGTTGATGTGTATCTGTACTGAAGAATTCAGACTGATGGAAGGCAGATTCTTGTTCTGTCTTAGCAGAGTAAAGTCAGGTTTATTTTTAAAGTGCCATTTCCTGGATATAT